ACCTCTGTAACTCCAGTTCTAGGACATTCAACACCCTCTTCTGATCTCCATAGACCCTAGACATGCATGTGGTTTAGAGACATACGTGGAAGCAAACACTCATTCACATAAATCTAAAGAGAAAATAAAAACAATGTGGTGGTATACTCTTTTTATCTCAGTGCTGAGGAGAAGAGAGGAGTGAATTCCTGGTGCTTATTACCAGTCAGTCTAGGTTATTGAGCCAGGCCAGTGAGATACAAGTGTTTAAATAAAAAGTGGATACCATGTGAGGAAGAACAGCACCAAGGTTCTCCTGGCCTCCACACTCATGCATACATACCCTGCCTACTGTCCATAGGAACGCACACTGCTTTGTGAAATAATGTTCATGTGTTGATAACACTAAAGTATACTGCATTCCAAACAAGGGAAATAAACTTCCTAGTTCAATTAAGTGGGCTATATGACCCCTGAAATTTAACTGACAAGGGAGTATCTACTGGAGTTGGAATTTGAGGGGGAAATCCCCCCTCTATGTAATTGATATGTGTGTATGATTATATGCATATATTCATGTTCACAAGCTTACAGGTTTGTACCAACATACCTGGTTTGTGTGGTGGTAGTGGTTTTTTTTAGTTTTGTTTTTGTTTTTGGTGCTGGTGTTTTTGAGATAAGGTCATACTTACAGAACAACAAGTTGGCCTAGAAGGTGACATCTCCTTACAACTTGGGGAATATAGGGGGTTACAGATCTACACCACTATACTTGGCCCTTTATTTGTTTTTAGTTATTTTAGAAGCTATTTATTTAAAAAAAATAGAAAAAAATCATTGCACATTTGTTTGTGCATGCATGTGTGCATATGCATATGTGCATGCATGTGTGCATATGCATGTGTGCCACAGCATGCATGTGGAGGTCAGAGACAAGTCGCAGGACTCGGTTCTCTTCATTTACCATGTGGGTTTCAGGGATGGAATTTAGGTTTCCAGGCTTTCATGACAAGTGCTTTTACTTGCTAACCCATCTCACTGGCCTCTAAAGATAATTAGTGAGGCAGTGGTGGTACACACCTTTAGTCCTGGTACTGGGGAGGCAGAGGCAGGTGGATATATGAGTTGAAAGCCAATCTGGTCTACAGAGTGAGTTCCAGGACAGCCAGGGCTATGCAGAGGAATTCAAAAGCAAACAAAAACAAAAAATAATATTTAATGGAACAGATGTAGCTATATCTGTAGCTGTCTTTGTTTCCTTAAGTGGATCCACAGTTTGTGCTGGAATACTTTTTTTTTATTTTTTAAAGAACTATATATTTACTTTATTTATATGAGTACACTGTAGCTGTCTTCAGACACAGCAAAAGAGGTCATCAGATCCCATTACAGATGGTTGTGAGCCACCATGTGGTTGCTGGCAATTGAACTCAGGATCTCTGAAGAGCAGTCGGTGCTCTTAACCACTGAGCCATCTCTCCAGCCCTCTGTGCTGGAATACTTTTACTTCTGCCTAAATGACTTTTCTTATTTCCTGTAGGGCAGGTTGGGAATAAGTTCGATTTTTACATGTCAGAGAAGTCTGTTTCACCTTGGCTTTGAAAGATAGTTTTGTAAGTATAGAGTAGTAGGTTGACAGGTCCTTTGGTGGTTTAAGTCTTACCCAAGCATCTGCTCTCTTAACTGTTTCCAGCAAGGACTGGATGCATCCTTACCTTTGCTTCTGTACTTAATGTCTCTGTTTCACTCTGGCTGCTTTAGGCGTTTATGTAGGTTTGAGTTATTTTTTTGTGCTGTGCCATTTTCTTCGTTTCATGTGCTAGGAGTCCTTGACTATCTTGGTCATTTAGTTTCTATCAGTTTTGAAAAAGTGAATATTTAAAGTACATAAGTGTATGTGTCAGCTTTTAGTCTATTTAAGTGAATTTATTTTCCTCATTCTTGTTTCCTATTTTGAATAGTTGTCAGACATTGTAAATTTTAATTTCTCAGGTCCTGGTGTTTTTTAATTCTTATAAATATCATTGGGCTTTGTTCTGAAACCACAGTAAAGTTAACTGAAAACAGTTTGTTTCTTTGGAGTCTTGTAAGATTTGTTTGGGGATAGACATGGTTGTTGTACCAGGTTAGAGATTGGGGCTGAAGATTCAAGGCCAGGCCATCATGATCTACATGAGATGCTGTTTCAAGACATTACCATCACCATCAAAAAAAGAACCAGCAGAAGATTTGTTAGGCAGGACCAGACCAGTATTTATACATTGGCTAATTCTTCCCAAATACAAAGACCAGACTTTTGGAGTTGGAGTTTCCTGGCTTGACTGGAGGTGCTACTTGCTGCTGTTGAGGATCAGGTACTGATTCATCCTTCACAGGGATTCATCCTTGCTGTGGGAGCTTCTGTGACTACCAGACCCTGCAGGGTAACAATCTCCATGAGGCAAGAATGGAATCTGATTCAGCATGACTCAGTAGCTGATGTTGATTCAAACTTAAACAGTTTAGCATCAGACAGTTTATATTAGGAATATTTAAGTAAAGTATGATTTGGGAAAAAGTTTTATAGTGTGACACATCCCCTATGCAAAGAGGCATAATTACATTGAAAGTCTTTTCAAAGTATATTTCCTCTATGAAGATGGGTTCTAGATATCACCTACATGTGTTATCTTAAGGGATTAGGGGAAGATCTGGTGTGGTTTCAGTCATACAGACAGCATAGAGGACATTTAGACCATTAACCACCTCTGGTTCTATTTGTGGGAGCTTAGGTGAGCCAGGTAAGTCCTGGCCCTACAGATAGCACAGGGGTTAACTGAGGCTAGTGTTTCTCAACCTGTAGGTTATAATATCCTACATATCAGACATTTACATTATGATTCATAACAGTAGCAAAATTACAGTTATGAAATAGCAACAAAAATAATCTTATGGTTGGGGTCACCACAACATGAGGAACTGTATTAAAGAGTCACAGCATTAGGAAGGTTGAGAACTACTAACCCTAGGCAATTAGCCACCCCCATTCCTTGTCTTCTGGGAAAAAAACAAGTTACACATTTTTTTTTTTCCTTTGACAAAACAGCCCTGAGTGTTTAGCATTCCTGGCTTCTCTAGTGCTTGTCTGTGAGCACAAGGACCTGTGTACTCCCAACACTGTGCCTCAGTTTCTTACATGCTCAAACCCATCTGTCTTCTGCTGAATACTCCAGGATAGCTCATTACAAGTCTCTGATGTTTGCTTGTTTGTTTATTTATTTATTTATTTATTTATATTTTTTTGGTTTTTCGAGTCAGGGTTTCTCTGTGTAGTTCTGGACATCCTGGAACTCACTCTGTAGACCAGGCTGGCCTCAAACTCAGAAATCCGCCTGCCTCTGCCTCCCAAGTGCTGGGATTAAAGGCGTGTGCCACTACCGCCCGGCGTCTCTGATGTTTATTTGTGCACCTCTTTCTCTAGGTCTCCCGTGAGTTCGAGCTGCCTGAATTCTCTCACTTCTCTTTCAGCCATTTCAAGGCTCCTCAGTCTGACTGGTTTTCACTAAGTAACTTGTCAGCTTGATTCAAGTGGCTAGTATTAATTGGTGTCTGTTTAATATCTTGCCTGGGAACCAAACATTAATTAAATCATTTATGGAAAATATTTTAATTTTGAGAGACAGCTGGGAAATATCAGCTGATGAAAAGTAGAAAATCTTTGCTTTAATTTGACTACCTTTCACAGTTTAATAAAGGCAGTATATTAGTGAGGATTTTTGTAAGTAGCAAAATACTTACTAAAACATATTAGTCTAGTTGTACAATGGATTTAGAATTGTCCTTCTGTGTATTTAATGGTATAAGTTTTACTGGCACCTAGAGAACACAGGCATATATCAGTTGTAGAAAGGGTCCACCTTTCGCCCAAGATGCCGCTCTGAGTCATGCAGAGTGGCTGAAGTTCATGAGCACAATGGGCTGATCAGTGTTGCTTTCCCTGTTTGCATTTCCTAGTAAGCTACATAGCTAGACTCTGAATGAAAACAAAAAAAACAAACAAAAACCCCAAACCCAAAAGATAAAGACCAATTTTTTTTACTCAATAAACCCATTATTGGACATAATAAAAGTGTTTAAAGGAAGAGTGTCTCTGGATCAGAAGTCCAGCTAGGAGAGGCCACAGCAGGTCTGACAGTGTAGCCTGTAAGACTGTGACAGGAACTGGACTATGAACTGGAACACTTCCAGTCTTACGAACTCCCTGGTTACCATCCTCAATTTTTAGCCATACAAAATAATGACTTGTGAATCTAAATATTTTTATTTGTTTGGTTTTTTAAGACACGGTTTCTCTGTGTAGCTCTGGCTATCCTGAAATTCTCTCTGTAGACAGGCTGGCTGGCTTTGAACTCAGAAATCTGCCTGCCTCTGCCCCACTTGTGCTTGGATTAAAGACGTGTATCACCACTGCCTGGTGTGAATTTAAATTTAAAGATTGTTTTTACCAATGTTTTGATGAAACTGCTATTTAATTGTTTCCATTGAATTTAAGTATGAGCCTAATGATTTTCTGTAAATGTTTTACCAGTCCAGTCTCTTGAGATAGGAAATGAATGTTTGGATTTTTGGGGAAAAGACAGAGACTATCACCTTCTTTGTTCTCATTCCATATGATAACAAGTTTTAAGTTTTACAGTGTCACTCAGTTTAAAATGCCAAATATTCCACAGGGAAAACATTTTTCCAAGTTACCAGATACATCTTAAAAGGAGGAACACCTTCCTTTTAAAAATCATCCCCACTTGCAGGGTGGTGGTGACTCACACCTTTAATCCTAGCATTTAGGAGGCAGAGGCCAGGTGATCTCTTGAGTTTGAGGCCAGCCTGGTCTACGAGTGAGTTCTAGGACAGCCAGGACTAACAAAGGACAGGACAGAGAAACCCTGTCTCGAAAAACTAAAATAAATAAACAATCAAATCAAATAAAAATCATCCTCATAACTGTGTGTGTATGTAATGCATTCCTTTCTTTTTTATTGTAGGTACTGCCAGAGACTGACATTGCTTCAATGTGAAATGAAAGTTGAAAATCGCATCTCCTTGTGTGTTGCTATCATGGTGTTGATTCACTGGTCATGCCTGAAGAGGGAAATTGTGTTGTAGAGAGCTGACTGCTGCGCGGTCACTGCTTGTCCTCCATGTCCAGCTCCTCTCCTTTCTGCTGGAGTGAAATCCTCTCCGGATACCAACAGAACGTCCACTGTAGAAAATGCTTTGCATTTTAAGGATGTCAGCAACCTAAGTTCATGCGCCCTGTCTGCACAGTTGTTGTGGATGGTTTGCCATCTGAGAGCACCTCAAGTTCTTATCCAGGCCCTGTGTCTGTTTCTGACATGTCGCTGCTTCATGCATTGGGCCCAGTGCAAACCTGGCTGGGACAAGAGCTGGAGAAATGTGGCATTGATGCCATGATTTATTCTAGGTATATCCTCAGTCTTCTGCTGCATGACAGCTATGACTACGACCTGCAGGAACAGGTAGGTACTGACACATGTTAAGTGTTTTCTGACAGGTGATGACTATGTCTGTTACATTCTGTAACAACAGAATGAGAAGAGGGAGAGGGTTTATTTGGCTCATAAATCCAGGTTATGGTTCATCATGGCCAGGAAGTCACAGCGGCAGGAGCCAGAGAGAACTGATCACGTTATGTCCAGTCAAGAGCAGAGAGCAGTGAGTGTGTGCATGCTGGTGCTCAGGCTGCCCTCTCCAGTTCATTCAGTCCAGGTCCTCTCCTTAGGGAATGATGCCACCTACCGTTACGATGGGTCTTCCCACATGAACTCAGTCAAGACAATCCTTCACACATTCTCAGAGATGCCTTAATCTAGACCAGTGCTTCTCAATCTTCTTAATGCTGTGACCCTTTAATATAGTTCTTCATGTTGTGGTGACCCCCAACCATAAAATTAACTGTAATTTTGCTACTGTTAAGAATCGTAATGTAAATACTCGATATGCAGGATATCTGATATGTGACTCGGAAAGGGATTTCCACCCACAGGTTGAGAACTAATCATCTAGACAATCCCTCACAAGTGTATCTTTAAGCCTGCCTCCTGGGTATCAAGTTGACAGTATTAACTGTATTTGTATATTCTTTTATTTAGTTTTGAGGTGGAAGGGCACATGTGCCACAGCATTTGTGTGAAGATCAGAGAACAACTTGTAGGAGCTAACTCTCCTTTCCACCTTGTAGGTTCCAGGGATTGAACTCAGATTATCAGACTTAACAGCAGGCACCTTTGAGGATCATCATCTGTCTTAGGCTCACTCTCTTGGGGCCTGACATCCCACTCAGTTTTGGGTTTGCTCCCGGCCCTGAGATCCTGGCAACTGAGCTAGTGGTCATCTCAAGCTAGCTTCCTGTCCCAGCCCCCTGATGCCAATCTGGTGGTCATCTGAGGCTCACTTTTTTCAGGGAATGTTAGGCCTACTAATCAATCATTCAGATGTTCACAGATCAGAACACTAAGCATAAACATAGCCTCTGTCCTCTCTGCTACCTACTGATGCACATGTGACACAGCAGCCACACTTACAACACTCTGGAGAGGAAGAACAAATTTATATTGACAAGAATCTGGCTTTACCCTTCTAAATTCACACAAAAGCCCCAGAGTACAGTGAATGCTACAGAGGCTTTCTCAGGGGCTCCTGATGTTTCCATACTTTACCTGCCTAGAGCGAGTGTTGTCATCTTTGGGCGGGTCACATCTCTGTACTTTTCTGGCTCCTAGGTTGCTTATTGCCCTGGCTAGGAGCTAGGTCAAATAAAGTTTTGTCTTGTGGTTTTTGTTTATTTTTATCTTCTGTTTTACTTTGATATCCGAGGATGGCCTTGAACCTGAACTGGTATTCTTGCTTTAGTCTTCCAAGTGTTGGGAGCACATGTGTCAACACATCAGTTCAAGTAAGGTTCTGAAGGGATTGAAAACTTCATGATCCGCAGATGTGTTATTTTGGAATCTGCTTCTTAATTTATTGGCATCTTTCTAGAAAATGTAAACTATAGAGAGGCAAGTAAGATGTTATTTCTATAAACACAGAAGAATGGTCTTTCCAGAAGTGAGGACATTTCTCATAGATTCTTCAGTTTGTGGGGAATTAGTTGTATTCAGTAAGACTTTAACTTTTCATTCTTACAGTTGTTTGTTAGGAGTCTCAGTCTAGAAGATTTAATCAACAGTAATATATTTTCTGAGGCAAGGTGTTTGTGTACTTACAGTGCTGTGGGGTGTCAAGGGTAAAGTGTAGATATAGTCAAAGGAGAGTGTGTGTACATGGCTCAGAAAGACTTGGTCAAGTGTTCTTTGGTTTCTTATTCATTGTAACAAGTTATGGGTAAGGGATCAGAGGAACAGCATGTCCCCACCCAGATTTGGTCCTCTTCCCATGTTCTGGTTCATTGCTTAAAGATAAAAGCTGGGGAAAACATACTATGTTGGAGCTATGAAATAGGGTCTATGTGGGAATTGAGGAGGGGTTGTACATATTTAAATGTGTGCAGGGGCAAGCAGAGGCCTATGACATCAGATTGACTTCCTCAACGACTCTTTATTCATTAGCAGGGCTATTAAACATGGACTGTGCCAATTCCAGCTTGCGTAGCAAACTTGCCTCTGGAATTCTCTGACCAAGTGCTAAGATAACATTGGCTGCCATGCCTGCCTAGCTTTTTACATAGGTTGTAGACATCCAGACTCTGGTCCTCACACTTGTACAGCAAATGCTTTATCCACTGAGCATCTCCCCAGTCACCAAAAATACTTTTCTACTTAGCCCTAAGGTAGAGAATACCATGGCTTTGTAAGGGAAGGTCAAATAAAAAAAAATGATTTTATTGTTAAATTTATTTTTATTATGTTTTATTTATGTGGAGACCCAAGAGGGCATTTTAGATCCTCTCAGCTAGAGTTATAGTTTGTGAGACTCTCAACGTGGGTGATGGAACCCAAACTGAGATTCTCTTCAAGAACAGCCAGGGCTTTTTACCACCGTCCTGCAGCTGTCAACCCCAATGAAGGAGACAGAAACAAATTGTGCTTAAAATTAAAACTACCCATTAGGTCTATGTAGACTTACTTTGCAGTAGCATGAACTGTTAATGGAAAGCATTAAAATGAAGGAATGTATGTGAGGAGTGTGCAAGTTGGAGCAGCATCAGTACTAATGCTGCTGGCATGAACTTGAGTCCATAGTAACCTAGGCTGGCCTTGAGCTCACTGTGTAACCAAGGATGACCTTCAACTTCTGCTTTTCCTGCCTCTACCTTACAAGTGCTAGGATTATATTAGTACACCACCATGCCCAGTTCATGTGGTGCTATTAATTGAACCTAGGGTTTCCTGAAGGCTAAGGCAAGCACCCAGCCAACTGAACCACATTGTAGCTCTTTTGTTTACGTTTTTTAAAAAATTGTTTGTGTATATGTATACACGCACGCGCATTGTGAGTATGGATACCTGAGGGAGGTTAGAGGCATCAGATCCTCTGGAATTGGAGTTACATGTGTAAGCCACTCACTTGATGTAGATGCTAAGAACAGAACTCATGACGTCTGGAAGAGCTTTTAATAGGCTTTTAATCTTTACTAAACCACTTTTCCAGCCTGTTTACATTTTTTTGTTCGTATATGTTTAAGAATAGTTTTAATGGCACAAAGAAATCTTGATGATAAATATTAGATTTTGAAGATTCAGTTTTTACATTTTACTTAAATGTTATAGCATTATACACGCCTTACATAGCATTGGGCACAGAGACAACTAAGGATGGGTTCCTAAAGGGCATTCAACAGTTTGTAGATCAACAAAACACTGGGTTGAGCAGAGTTTGGAGACAGGGACACCAGGGGTCCATGAATGGGTTAGGAAATATGGTGAGTAAGCAATGGAGCTGTGAGCTGAGAGCAAGCAGTAGAAGATGCTGAAGAACCTGCTGCTGTGGGTTAGAGACAACAGGCCAGCATTCCTTCAGCCAGCAGGAGGAGCTACATTGGAGTCGGGGTGCAGACTTTGGGCCACTGAAATTAGGGAGCCACTGAGGAGACAACCTCTGTTTGGGGAAGATATAGAGGATAGTAGAATCAGCTGCCCTGAAAGTCCATTTGGAGCATTCTGTTTCTTCTAGCCACAAGTATCTGTTTTTCTAAGCAATGGGATGAAAGGTTAGTGGATCATCAGACAGCTTCAATTTTGGTCATAGTTGCCATTCACAAGTTGCCTAAAGGGTCTGAACTGAACTGGCCTCTAGGAAGTCACCTAGCTGCACACGCAGAAGCAGGGCTGACCCTTGCCTGGTTTGTTTCCAGGCTTCAGTGTGACTGGGACTTCTGCTCTGACTCCCTGGCTGCTTCCTCCTTTCTGCTTGGTTTTGACCTAGCTCCCCTTAGGGTAGACGGTGGTGACACTGTCTTGAGCAGACCCTTAAAGGCTGGCCCTGATACTCTGCTTTTAGCCACCCAGAGTCTGAAGTGGGGCAAGGGTAGAAAGAAGCAGGGACTATTCTGAGACTGGGTCAATAGGGTGTGCCTTTGAGGCTCTATCTTGGTCCCTGCTTGCTTCCCCACTGCCCTTACTACTCACTTCCTCCTCTGCTTCCCAGATGCTAAGAGAAAGAAGCTTCCCGCTGCTATGCTTTTTTATCATGCCACATAGTGTAAAAACAATGAAACTAGCTCATTATGGACTGAAATCTCTCAAACTCCAATCCAAAATAATCTTAATCTTTCCTCTTTCAGGTTGTTCCTTGGGTGTGTGTGATGTATGTATGTATGTATGTATGTATGTATGTATGTATGTATGTTTATTTTGTCACAGCAACAGAAAGTTCACCAATACATACTTTTTATCTGTCTTCTATGCTCTACTAAAAGTCTACTGGATGATAAACATAGATCAGTAGACATGTGCCAAACAGTGTACTCAATGCACTGAATAAGATATTGTGTTTTTTCACAGCCCTATTCTGGAAGTCAGGACATTTTCAAGTACGAAAAGCAGACGAGGCAGAAGAGTTCCTCAGGAGACTATTTATTATCAGCTGCTTTTCTAGACACTCTTGTGAGGTGGCATAAGGTTAAGTAAGGCTTTGACTGACTTCCTCATGCTGTCTTCTTTCAAAAAGGAGATTGGGAACTGGAGGAAGCAAAAGGACATGGTATTCTAAAATACAGCTGGTGTTACTGTCGTCTGCTGCTAAGCACCCACCCTGCCTCCCACATCTTCCTGTTAACAGCCTCCCAGTGAGTCTGAATGAGACTGTGTTCCCCTCCCCCAGAACCCATACTATCATTAACTTCAGACCCTGGGTGGCTAAAAGCAGAGTGTCAGGGTCTGCCTTTAAGGGTCTGCTCAAGACATTGTCACCACCGTCTACCCTAAAGGGAGCTAGGTCAAAACCAAGCAGAAAGGAGGAGGCAGCCAGGGAGTCAGAGCAGAAGCCCCAGTCACACTGAAGCCTGGAAACTAACCAGGCAAGGGTCAGCCCTGCTTCTGTGTGTGCAGCTAGGTGACTTCCCAGAGGCCAGTTCCGCATGAACTCAGCAGTGGGGGCATTTATATGTAGTATAAAATAGAAGTATTTTTGGTCTTTTTATACTATATTGTTTTTAAAATATGATTAGTTCATTATAATAAAATGTTTAATAACTTATAATACATTATACAATATGTAAGACAAAAATATCGAGTGGGAGAGCTCTTGAAATAAGTAGAAAGAACAATGCAAAAGGTATATGTGCTATGCTATGTTTTCTTTTTTTTAAAGATTTATTTATTTATTATATATGAATACACTGTAGCTGTCTTCAGACACACCAGAAGAGGGCATCAGATCTCATTACAGATGGTTGTGAGCCACCATGTTGTTGCTGGGATTTGAACTCAGGACCTCTGGAAGTGCAATCAGTGCTCTTAACCACTGAGCCATCTCTCCAGCCCTATGCTATGTTTTTATGTCGCTTTTGTTACAGGTTTTATGTTTTCTAGTGAATTCAACCTGAAACTTAGAGGGTAAACAACTCTGCGTGTCTGTAATACAGTAAACATTTTAACAGATTTTTAAGTGGTAAATCCCACCAGACTGCTCTGTGTGTGTCATCAGTACACCAGTATATGAACGGACAGGTGTCAGGCAAAGATCTGGTTTTACAAATACCTTGTAAATAAGTAAATTTAGGCTTGCTGTAATGCCAGAATTTGATAGTATCTGTTTGAGGACATTATCAAAGATGAAATACATAAAGTCCTTTTTATGACTGGCCATTAACAGGACCATTAAGAAAAGGTATCCATATTGGAAAGGACTCAAACTATCTCTAGTCAGATAGGACATCATTTTATAGACCATAAGATGCCTGTTAAGGGATGAATATCCAGATTGGGTGTGGTGGAGCACTTGGCACTAGAGTTACATTTCATTGTTAGAGCATTTGCTTATTTTGTAGAGGCCCTGGGTTCATCCCCAGTATTACAAAACAAAATGAGAAATGGAGGAGGGAGTTTATAGTAGTTTCAAAGACAAAATATTAGGAATACATTTAGCAGAAGTTTGAGACA